CCTTTCACAATCACTAATGCACCCTGGTTCACATCAAATCATCAATTACATAATGAATTAAACATATTTAGTTATAACTAAGTAAAGTTATAACTAAAAAAAATATTACACCGAAAAAAAAACTTTCACATTGATCTACCTTGAGGTACACCTACCTTCGTTTAAGCCGTGGAAGTCCGTAGTAGTGACTTTGTGAGATGATTGTCATGATTAAGTAACAACTGCAGCCAGTGTGACGTAAAGATCGCTGGGTTCGAGGCCAGATGTTGCAGGATATTCGACGTCAGTTAGACCGAATGAAGCCGCGGCCTGCAGGAGAATTCCAACCATCGGCTGCTCAGATTGAATTTCTGTGGTTGATCAAAAGCAGGAAAGTGTCGGAATTGTAGCCTAACAAACAGGCTATTGACCGCGCGCGATCTTTCATTCTTTTTTTTTCTCTATCCTCATCCCTTAATTCTACACGCTTACACTTACATGCACTCCACTACCACACATGCCGGGCGACCGGTCGGGAGCTTAAAGTTTGCCTGTAACTGGGGGAGTCACTCTGAGGGAAATACCGCAATTCCACGAGCTGATGTATTGGTTGGCGCTGGATCTCGTAAGTGAGGTACACCACCACCGTCCTGTAACACACTACACAAACGAGACTAATAACGATAATAATAGACGCGCCCAGAAACACCAAACACTCACTCACCAATGATATTTAATTATATAATAATATAATTATATTTAATTATTCGTTTTATAACTAAAAAAGATGAGCCACAAAAATATTCCTGTCACAACGTAAGTAACTTGAAGTATGCCTACCTACGTCGAGCCCTTGAGGCAAGGCATCAATTGATGAGACTGCAGTGCCTCTAACCAGGTGTAAGTTCGAGTTCCGACGGTGGCAGGATTATCGATACTAGCAATATTGCTATCCGGAGGAGGCGTTGGCACGTGCCAGGTCGCGCGCCTCACCTTGCCACTAGTCAACACTCGCGGAGAGGGCTGCCCAGCAGGGCCCCTCAAAAACCCATTCGCGATGAGTGCCATTCCCAGCCGAATCAACGGCCGTGGGCGAAAGCAAATGTGTTCCACACAGAGAGGAAACTGCAAAGATTTCCCAATTCACTCGTATCAGACTGGAGCTTAGATCTCGTAACAGCTGGGGCGGTGCCTCTCTGTTGGGAGATACCTGGTTGAGAGTATCCCGTTAGCCGACGGTAGGTCGACAACGGATCTCACCAGCCAGAGGGGGAAGATCGCCGCCACCTCCAGCGATAAAACATGCACTAATCTTACAAGACTAATGACCTTTGACGCGCCTGGAATCACTTGTCAACCAACCAATCAAACGTTCGTCCAATCAACTGGTCGTCCTGCGGCTCACAAAATAAAAATAGTCGGAAGCATCGGAAATAAACGACGAGACGTAATGAATAAATTCAATATTTTAGTTATCTACATTATAGTTGCAAATCGCTATTAATATGCGTCATAATGTTAAAGATAGAATCTTGAGGAGACTATCATTTATATAATGTGGCTATACAAATTACAAAACAATAGTTGACACCGAAGATATGATAAAATTAATTCGAGCAATTCAGGAATGGTCTATAAGACTTGGTTCGTGTTCAGCGTTCCTTGTTGAACCCCTGAATACCGTTGTTAGAACTTATGATAAACGTGCATTTTTAGTAGATATAAGAGATTAAATGAATTGTACATATAAAGCACTGGATACTAAATGAAGAACTCTAGCCAACAGGTAATGTTTCCTACTCGACAGTTTCACTCAAAACGCGGAGAAACGACTAACGCCGTTAAAGCTCCCGGTGTCTGCTGTGAAGCTAATTTGAATATCGCTTACAGAAGTAACTTTCAAACATAATTTTCTCGAAAACGATTTGTTTTCGAAAAAAATTGATCCTATAGTATCAAAAAATCTAATATAGAATCTGGGGTATATTTTATTACGTGCTTACGGACCCATTTACAAAGCTACAGTCAATAATCACCCACCGTCAGATCTCGATCCCTAGGTAATCTTGGTCAGAGATACTTCAGTTGCAATATCATGGTGTTGTCAATCAGTGGCAATATCATGTGTGTGGTTCGTTTGTCAATTAAAGCAAAAAATAATGAATTTACATTTATTTTTCAAGGCCAGAACACCGCTTAATTTTCAAACAATGCATTTATAACAAATATATATAGAACATCGAAGAATGTGCATTCCCATCCCCCAATATTGTTCTTTTGTAATAAAATAATTAGAACTAAATGAAACGTACTTACTATATCAGATTCATTTTTTCCTTTCAATGTAGCTTTTTCACAAGAATATTGTGCCTAATTCTTCTACCAAAATAGGGAGAGACATTGAAAAGCAAAGTTTTCTGAGCTTACTAATACAATACTTTTCGAGTTGAAGAACACTTCTAATGCCAAAATTGGCGCTACTAAAAAACCGTCAGATCATTTTCGAGGATAATGACAAACCTCTTACATTACATCCAGATACAATGACCTTAAATAAATATTGTCTTGGTAAATAATGCAGTGATACTTTCAACAATACAATTAATGGGGCAACCTTTATTCTGACCTTGCAAAGTAAGAAAGGTAACTCACGGACCATATAGTCTATTTTTATGTCTGGACTCTCTGGAAGGAAGGATCTGGTTTTGATACTAACTTTCCCCACCACGATTCCCACTAAAATATGTGAATACAGATCGCTCCGGATACATCCCATTTATTATTTATGTCATGTTTTACTTTTATTGGCAACATTGCATATGGAACGAATCTGCAGGCGTTTTAAACCCATTCTCCGACTCGGCCAAAACTGACCTCGGATCACGCCAACCCCGGCCGCCTTGTAGCTAGACAGGGGCGGGGACGGGGGGGGCGCAGACTTCTCGAAGCAAGCATGCCACCCATGATCCGAGGTCTTGCCTTGTAGGGTCTGGCGCTGCACCAGAGCTTTGAACCGTATGGCAGCCACTTGAGAAGGCTAAGGGAAATGAAATAACTGTGTTGCTGTCATTTTTACCTTCACATACATAATATTTTAATGCGATGCAATGTTACAAAAGCCTGTCTTGAGAACTTGATGGAAATACACGGTTTGAAAATCGCTTAAACAGAAAGGTATGTTTTCAAATACAACTCTCTTTGACATCTATCATCGTAAACAGGAATTTCAATAAAACTAATCTCCCCTATCCTTACCTAAACTAGAGGGCCAACGAATTTAAAACGTATCTTTTTATTTTAGAGGAAATATACGTTCAGATCCAGAGATGTTTTCGAAATTATAGCAAAGATGGTTTCATATTTTGTGTAGACCTGTACATTTTTGGATCAAATAGGGCAAAGTACACTTAAACCATTTTACTCACGCCACCCAGTCTCCTAGTAGCTCTGGGAAGGGAGTAAGATACACAGACAAGAGGAATCAAACATGCCATTTACGATCCCGAGCCTTGCCTTGTTCGGTCACCAGAGCGTTGAACCGATGACATGCAACTGGGAACGGTCAGAAAATCGTTATATCTGTGTTGCATTCATTTTTGCTTTCTCACCATTATTTCGTAAGCAGAGAAAATATTATAGGCAGGGAAAATAATGTAAATACAGAACACGTCTTATTCCCGAGTCCTGATAACGATAAAATGCATAAATATTGCTTCCTCTAACACATTGAGTAGTCGGAATCCAGATTTTGAGGATCCTTTGTCACCGAAAAATTGATTACTGTCTCTGGTCAAAGCCAGTGCCAAAACCGATTAGTCAATTCTCTCAATTCTCAAAATTTCTCGATCGATTAAAAGGAACTCGACGCTTTTTGAATTTCAAATGGTTATTTCAATTTTTGGTGGTACTTTAGATGAAACCTCAAAAACATTTTCATAATTTAAAAAAATCATAGGATTTTCGATTTTTTCATTACATTTTTTGAAAACCATTAGTTGAACTTTATTTTTGGATATTGTATAGGACGCTTAAAAATAATGGTGGACGTTTTCCTTTCCTTAAAATCTCTAATTTTTCGAAAATTGCAAAAGTTAATAATTTTTTTGACGTCTTCTTAAAATTAAAATATTGAAGATAGAGATATTTTTCCCTAATGAAATATAGTCTTTAAAGACAGACTTATAAATTAATTCACATTCAATTTTTCCAAAATCCGAGAAATTTTCGTGTATTTTTGCATGAAATAAGGCAATTTGTAAACAATTTATTTTCTAAAAAACGGCTCAATATTTTTATTTAAATTTACTTCTCGTTTGTGTCAAACAACGGTATAAAAAGTAGTGCTAACCCCCACTTTCGTCAAACTCTGGATTTTTGAAAATTACGAAAAGGTAACATTGCAATAGTGGAATATTAAAAATACAGAATTTTATTTTAAATGAATTCTGTTTTTAAAAAGGTCATTGGTACATGGTCTTTTAAAAAGGTCATATACAATTTTTTTAAAGAACAAGGTTCGTAATTTTGGTTTAAAATTAATGGAGATTTAAACATAACATACATTAAAATCCACATTAATAATTTTCTTCAATTTTTTCATGGTTAGAACAAGAGACGCTTAGAAGAGTGGTTACTGTCTCATTTTTATTTGAAAACGTAAAATTCAGAAAGAATACGAGAAATTATGAGCTGTTGAACTAGTTTTAAGAGCAAAACCTTTCGAATTTTTTCAGCCAATTGCACTGCATCTCATTATCGGCACAGCCGATCGGCTCAAAATGAAGTTTTGAAATAAACTTGTATCATGTTATAACTCGCTCTTCTCAGGCCATTCGTATTAATCTGAGTAAACAATTCCGGAAGGAACACCCCGGTTATAGCGTTTTACTCCTTTAGTTCAATTCTTCCACCGTGACTTAAGTGAACTGAAGGACATATTTCTTATAAAAAAACTTTTGAGGAAAACAGGTTTGTTTTTTACAGGAGAAAGCAAATGATATATAACCTGTAAGAAAGAAATGCATTTGCTAACGATTAGAAATGTGTGAATTTACATTTATACATTCTAACTAACTGAAAACCACGTTTACACAGAACAAATTGAAATATTATACAGTGAGGAATGGCAAATAAAAAACTTAAACAATTATTGCCCACAATTTTCAAAATCTTTAGCAGGTAAAATTTTCTTTCATAGTTCAGTACCGTCAAACCACACACATTCAGCTATTTTATATTTATTTGCTTATAACAAGTTTTATCTCTCTTACAGCAACATTTTATTTCACAGCAGTCTACATTTCTAGTTTAACGTCTAAACTTGCGTTCTAACTGCAAAGAAAAACAATTTTTAACATTGCTATCAATTACAAACACTGCTCTATTACAATTCAAACAACATAAAGGAATCATTTAATGAATTATTTCAAAATCATTCATGGAAAACCAGGAAATGTCGATTGTAAAAGGTAAGGTTGTTTCAGTATTTATTTTTAAGCAGCTTTTCTCGAGATATACAACTTGCAAATAAAGAACATTCAGCCACTGTTTTAATAAGCGGATAAAAAACATAAGATCAGCACTCTGACGATCCCTTTGGATCCAACCTGAAATACGAGTGAAAATTATCGCTGGCCATTCTTTTTTATTATGTTAATAAACCCATCTTTCACAGACTTGAGTGACTACACCTCTCACTCAAATGTTCCTTGTCAGCGAATAGCCCGTCTCATGTTCAACCAAGGCACCACCACATAAAGGTTGGTGCACTCAACTTCGTCACTCTTCCGCAGTGATCCAAATTCACCGCCATCTGGGATAGGGTTGAATTTCTCCCGCTTAGTCATCCTCCGATTACAGGTCGAGTCGAACTTCACGTCTGTAACAATAAATACAATATGTTTGCTATACGGCATTCAACTTTATTTAGAAGATATTCTAACAACTTTAAAATTAGGCCGTAATTAGCTTTATGAAGGCAAAAAATACTTAGCGCAAGAGATAGTTTTAATACTGAAATTATTTTTCTTGTATCTTTTTATAAGAATTTAAAACAGATTTAATACGCCAGTACATGCTAATTATTTACTACAGAATACATAAATGTTCTCACAATGCGACATTCAGTAATTTTACCACAGGATCCGTCGTCATGAGAATTTCTGAAATTAAAATACCGAGGGTCTGTTGAAACGGGAGATAACTTAATCAAACCACAATTTTAAACCATCTCCACACTGAAATAAGTACATAAAAACCTAGATAAATCTTGGATATCAAGCTCCGTAGACAAACGTTACTATGATATAAACATGCAACCAAAATTAAGAAACATAGCTTCTTCTAAACAACTGAAGAAAAATAATTACAAGTCGAAATTCAGTACAAATGCCAGACCTTTTGACTCTTGTATACATTTTTTATGAGTTTCAATCGCATATTGAATCAAACCATTCTCATTTTGAAAGAAACTTTGGTATTAAGACGTGGCAGGTGAATGTTTGAGATAGGTACTCTTTACAATAGAGCGACATGAAGATTCTGAAGAGTGCCATGCCCAGACTTTGTAGCACATTTGCGGTTGTGGAAGACTGGAAGAGATAGCACCTTCATATGTAGTATTGCATTTATTTGCCGTTCGAGTTTTAAGAAAGCTGTGGTAGCAACGATCTACAAATTCAATTAGGACCAGCAAAAGCTTCAGACACTGTTGGTAGGTCACCCCTACCACGTCGACTCGGAGCCAGACTTTGGTACGCAGCGCCCGGGATCGAAAAAATGGGCAAAAATGCACCATGTACCTCTGAGCTATTGAAAAGCAATATAGATTAGTACATCAACGTATTATGGAACTTATAAACATATTGCACTGAAAGGCAAACTAAGTTCTTAGTTACATGTAGAGATGTTTCAGGTGTTATTTCATCAGCAGTATTTTCTTTTTCTAATTATTAATTTTTAGTTTTTGATCCTTTTATTTATATTCTACTAATACAAGTATCATTAAAGACAAGTTTATAACCCTGTATACACGGCATCTCTTGACTTCTTTTTACAGCTTGCAGATAAACATTCCAGGTTCTTGAAAAAATAATCGAATTTGACGTTACTCAACCACCTGAAAATGCTAATCAATCAGCATAAAATCTAGCGCTACACCGCAACTTTCCGGTCATATTCTTTGACAGAATAGTTCCTCTGATGATTGCAGGGTCCGTAGCGGAATTCTCGCCCGGTAATCCGTGTCTCTTACCCTGGGGCCTGAAGGAAGTCTCAAATCCAGCGCGTCTTGAGTCGCAGTTGTTCCCAGCGCGGTTTAAGACGAGCGAGCGTTTCTCCGTTTTTTGCATGGGAGAATCCCGGCTGGAAATTGCCCCTCAATTGTGGTCGGCGAGTAACGGGCAGAGCACCCGTTGACCTCCATAAAACTTGCACATCTCCTCCGCGTGGTGTCGGAGGACGCGACTGCCAACGGAAGGGTTGCGCCGCGCCGGGCATTGTCGGCGTCCGTTCGGTATGGCCGCGCAGTGGAACGGGATTCAGCGAAACCGGGAAAAAAAAAATTAAATAACTTATAAATGCGTAAAGACCTGTGGTAATTATCAGACGCGAGATTTTTGTATGTTTTTTGTGGGACAATAGGAAAGGGTGAAATGAATCTTCCGCTTTCTTAAAAAGTACCTCCACCAATAAAATAAAATTTTACAGAAGAAAGAAAAACAGGTATTTCAACATCACCAGTCTTAATGTAGTTATTATTATAGTAAGATGATGTTACAATATATTACTTCTTATTTAATAAAAATAGACGTTCGAATTTTGACGAAAATTGAATTGTTTATTTACCATATGTCATTTTATATTTTCGTCAAAAGGAGAATCTCTTCGCCTCTTCCCCGCGAGCCATTGGGAGGGAACCCCACATACGCTTCCCGACGGCGCCCCGGGGACTACAGGGTTGGGCAGCCTAAAATAAGAGGGGGCCAAGTACATTTCTGGGCCCTCTTTTTCGTTAAACGTGTTCATTTACATATTACATATTTTACTGGTAAATAAATAAATTATTCTGAAAATACTATAATTTTAATGATACAATTAATAAATTAAAATTATTTTATATTGATTACGTGATTGACATATTTCTTGGAGAGACTCCTATCCAAAGGTGGTAAAACAATTCCTCAAAGTGGCAAGTTAAAAAGAGGGGGAATGAAGTATTGAGCATATTCAGGAAAATAGAAATTACGTTTTATTTTCTAAAGCGTGGGGCCCAAGGGACGTACGGCCCCGTCGCCTGTTCTGTGCACACACCTGTGAATGAGGGAGATAATGCGAAGGCAAAAGAATGGAAAGGATAGATCACTTGCGGTCCAGGACGGGATGTTGTTCTGGAATTTAATTGAAAATAATCAGGGAAACAACGGATTAAAACCATCGAACTACAATTTCAATTCCAACGGGCGTCGCCAAATCGCTGCCATACAGAACAAATCATTTAATTAAAATAAATAATAATAATAAAAATAAAAATAATTGTGCACAAGAACACTCAAACTGCAAAAGTGTTAAAGTTTACGAAACTCACCAATTAAACTAGATACACAAAAAGCAATAACCATATTAACGAAATGAATAAAATTAAATTAGTTTTCATATTAAAATTTGGGGACTCAGTGCAAAACGTAAAAAAGAATGGAAACGTAATAATAGCCTCAAAAATATCATGACTTAAAAATCAAATTAAATAGTTTTGGTACTCCATGAAATATTATGCTGAGAGAAAAATCATTCACCAAATTTGATGACTGATACACATTCAAATTTGGTGAACGACATCACATTTTATTTCTCGACTACTCTATCATAACAACTCATCTTGAAATAGCTTTGAAAAAACACTCATTCAGAAACCATATTATTTTCGTTTATTGTTCGTTTTGAACCACTGTGTTGCGCAGCGAATGAAACAATACAAGATCGGCAGCGGTTTGCGGACGTAACTGTGAAGATGCTGCGGGACCAATTTCCGCGTCGACAGCGGCGAAATACGGGTGCGCCAAGACACAAGAGAATTACTGCATATCCACATAAGGAAGCAAGCTTCGCGCTTTCCAATTTCTCAGAGCCATTTAAGTGCCGTTGGCTACTTTCGACTACTTACAACATTTTGGAGTTCCTGTTGAGCTTCTCAAGGAAGTAATTTTCTATTTGGGATGCTTATTTCTGAATTAACAGTTGAATTCACATTTCGATTAAAATAATCTCAGAATATATGATTTATTATGTGTCGACCTCCGTACAATTACTGAAGTACTGAATCTAATTAATCTACGATTCCATCAGATGATAATGCCTATAATTTTGACAGTCTACCACCAAAAGATGCAATGTGTTTTGTTTGCGCGTTTCGTGTTTGTTTCGTCGAAACAGAAAGGAGGAAGAAAGACACTTGAAGCGCATGAATATTGCGTAGTTGCGAGTTTGAAGTGTTAATTTCAATACAATTTTAGTTTTTATGATTAAATATAGTGTTAAATGCTGATAGAATGATTGAATACAAGGAAGCATTTTTGTGAATATTTAATTTTAAATTAATGAGGTAAAGTTAAAAAGGGGAATATTGGTTGCAAAATGCGTGTGAGCAGCAGGGTTCAAAATGGACGGCATGGAACGACCTCCCATCAAGAGAGGTGAATGTCATTAAAGTAGGACTGACTTTTCATTTTCTCTTTAAAGATTTTTCAAGATACTGAAGAAGATGAGACTTTGTTTTCAATTCAGGAAACGATAAAAATAGTTGTAAAATTAATAAGGGTATACCAGAGTTAATTTTTAAGTTGGATTGGTTTTATGATTTCACAAATATTGAGAGAAATTTGTTTATTTTTCTCACGATTTTAAGTGTATAATTGTGTGTAGTATTTTAGGGCTTTTGAAGTTATGTACTTGTATTTGTATCGGAGCTGTGAATGGTGAGAAGTTGCCATTGTTAACTAATTAACGAATAACATCGCTATGTTTGGATCGAAAGTAGTGAGTTTTTTAATTAATTTCTTTTCCGTGTTCCTCTGTATTTTTAATACAAGCTGGCTATAATTTACATCGTTTAACAATTTAATCCGTTTTCTGAACGGAGCGAATCACGACCTATAGTTAAAATATGTAAAATTTTTAATCCACCGCAAGGATTGGAGAAACTAACGGAGCGGGAATATTAAAAATATTAGTATAATTGAAGACGAAGCCACAGAGTTGATGAAATGGCTTTACATAACGAAGGAAGATTTTTGAATTAAAGGTAAAATAAATAAAGCCGTGGTCGGGAACAAGTTCATTACGTTCGTATATCAAATTACTATATATAATTCATAACAAGTGAGGTTAATTAACACACGTTTTAAAGCTGAAATAAAAATAAATAAAATTTTTCAATGGCAAAGTAACATCCATAATTTTCTACAACGGAAATTACAAAGTATTTTAAATTATTAAATTACTACTATGATTGAGAAATTAACTTGTGAATACAAAATGAAATGTGTAATAATTTCAATTTAACGAAGAACATCAACATTTTGGACTGAGGAGATTCTGGAAGAGAAAGATGCTAGACTTTATTTGTTCTACACTTTATTACAACTATATTTTATTTTAAAAATTGACAAAATTGTAAAAGATTTGTAATAACATTCAACATTGAACCGAAAGTCTCATTTCAAGGAAGGTACCTGAAAGGGATATGGAGACAGATTTTTTAGTGAAGTTTCAAATACGGAACGTTTGCTTTTCTTGGTTGTTTATTTTTTGACTTACTATTTTAAATAAGAATCCACAGTTTTCCTTCCCAGAAAATATGTCGTTAAAGCTCGAAGTTGCTGTGGATTTACGGCAAGTAAGTGTAAGACAAGAAAATTCCTGTGCAATCACCACTCTAATTTTATTTGTGAGCTCGTTTCGTGGGAGTTCATATTCTATGAGACTTTTCTGATCATGTATGGGACACTGATTCTGTAATATGGAATATTTCAAGGAATTAAACAGCATGAACACAAATTAAGGTACATATATAGCATTATGAAACTGCAGCCCACAAATTGTGGTTTATTTAATACGCAACATTCCCCCGATATACCCCTTCTCCTTCCCATGGAGTCGTTCTCCCTGTCTAATTGTCTCCTGGAAACTGTGCGCTCCCAATACGACCTTCTACATTCCCGTCCTTCTGTTTGTGCAGGCCGCATACACTTCATCTTTTTTATTCCCCTCCGCCGGCTCCAGCGCTGGCGTTTCCAAGGCGCGACGAGGTGTCGGGTAGCTGCTGCCCGTGATGCACGCGCAGTGTTTACTCGCACTTCATCGCGATGGGAGTTTATCTTACGGGCCGTCGCCGCCACCTGGGCCGGCATCACCCCCCCGCCCCCGCCCACGAGTGCATTACGAAAGGCCTCCACCGCCCCCAGAGCGCCCGCCCGAGAGTTCCCTTAACCTTTCACCCAGCGCCGCCGCCACCACCGCTAGGTGTCCACGCCCCGTGACTCACGGCATCGCCCACGCGCCCGCCGCCCGCCCGTGGGCGACGACGCGCTCCCGCCGCGGATCAAACCGCCCGCCCGCCGCGCCGCCACGCCCCCCGCCTCGCCCGCTCGCCCGTTCTAGTCATTCGCTCCTTACTTACATTAACCGTTCGGGAAGCACTCCCGCGCATACACGCACATGCACAATCACACGGAATTCAGCACAGACACACTCATGCACATACAAGCATTCACATGCTCATGCACAAATACGATCATGCCCACACATGCATATATCGCTCATGCATATACAAGCACAGGCACGTTCATGCGCAGACACACGGAATTCCGCACAGACACACTCATGCACACACACATGCTCATGCACAAATGCAATCATGCGCACACATGCATTCATCGCTCATGCACATACAAGAATAGGTACGCCTATGTTCAAACCCACACATGCATAAACACACTCATGCACACGTAAGCATTAACACGTTCATGCACACACAAGCATAGGCATGCTCATATACAAACGCGCTCGTGCACACACATGCATACACACGCTAATGCATACACAAGCACAGACCCGCTCATGCACACACAAGCATTGACACTCCCGTGCCAGTCACTCGTCTCTTGCGGGCGGAGGATTAACCGCACCGTTCGGGAAGCATACTCGCACACATGCACATGCTTAGACACATGCATATCCAAGCATAGACACGCTCACGCACACAGGCATAGTACATAGGCACACTCAGGCGTGCTGTTTTATCTTTGTGCCATTCACACTGTACTTTGGGATGTACACTGGCTATACTGCTTCTTGCACAGCAAAATGCTTAAATGATGACGCAGGCTCCCCCATCCAGAGACATGTTCTGGGATGTCCGGATGACGCCGCGTCGAACACCATAACAAAATGTTATTTTAAAAAAATAG